GGCCCCGCGCTCACCTGAGCGAGAGCGAGTAGTCGTCGGGGCTGGTCTCGCAGTCCCGCACCAGAAAGCTGCCCTCGCGGCACAGCGCCAACAACGTCTCGGCGCCCGCTCGCCCGATGGGGCCGTGGTACCACCTGCGCGGCGGCACGCGACACCCTGGCGTGCGGCACCGTGGCACCCCGCCGCACAGCACTGGGTCCCCAGGACCCATCTGCAGCGTGGGGCACCCTCCATGCCACAGGGCACCGTCCCCACCACTTGGACCCATCGGTAACGTGGGGCACCCTCTGCAGCATGAGGACCCCTCCACCCCACAGGGACCTGTCTGTGTCAATGGGGCACCCTCTACTTCATGGAGACCAACACCACGGAGCACCCATCCACACCAAAGGGACCATCCATGCCATGGGGCACCCTCTATGCCTTGGGGAACCATCCACACCATGGGGCACCCTCCGTGCCAAAGGGACCCATCCATGCCATGGGGCACCCAACACCATGGGGACCCGTCCACGCCACGTGGCACTCTCTGTGCCAAAGGGACCTATCCATGCCATGAAGCATCCTTCACCCCATGGGGACCCGTCCATGCCATGAAGCATCCTTCACCCCATGGGGACCCGTCCATGCCATGAGGCACCCAACACCATGAGGACCCATCTGTGGGGGACCCTCCACCCCAGAGGGTCTGCCTCCATGCCACGACGTATGACGGGGACGTTGATGCCACCCTGTAGAGGAGGGACCCCCCCCCAGACTCACGCCTGCTTCTCCAGGGGCAGCGAGGTGTCCACGTGCCTGGGGCTGGGGGGACAGCCCGGCCTGGCGCCTGCGGGGGTCCGGGGGGGCCGCGGCAGCTGCCGGGACAGGCTGGGGGAGCGCTCGGGGCTCTCAAACTGCACTGTGGGGGCAAAGAGGGAGGGTGTCACCCCACCGTGGGGTCCCAGCACCCCTGCCTGTCGCTGAGGGGCACCTCTCGGGTGCCAGACCACAAAGGAACGTCCCAAATGTCCCCACCATGGTTTTGCCTGGCTGCGGTGACCCATGGGTGCTCGGGGATGCTGGGGCGGCCTGGGGTGATACCCATGGGTGCCATGGGATGCTGGGGTCCCAGGGGTGCTATCCCTGGGTGACGGGGGATGCCGGGGACCAAGGGGTGGTAACCATAGGAGCTGGGGGACGCGGGACTGGGGGACCCCAGGGTAGCACCCATGGGTGCTGGGGGATGCTGGGGGGGGACAGGAGTGGTACCCGTGGAAGCTGGGGGACCCCGGGGTGGCACCCAGCGCCCCGGGATGCCGTCACCTGCGAACGCCCGCGAGATGTGATCCTTCTTCCACTCCCAGGGCTGGTCGTACTCGTCGGCCGGGCGCTCGTCGTCGCGGGGCAGGCGGCTCTCACGGGTGGTGGGCACCCCCGGGCCCTCCCCTGCCGTCTCCCACTCCTCGTAGGGGGTGTCGTAGAGTTGGGGTCCCCGCCGCGGTCTCGCCCGCCGGCCTTCGCCCTGCCGCGGGCACCCTGGGGACAGGCGGCGCTGGGAGACGTGGCAGGGCCGGGACGGGTGGGAGGCACCCTGCCCGTGGGACCCCCGTGGGGGTGGGTGCTCTTGGGGGGGGTGCCCAGGGTGTCACCCACCTGTG